TATTGTCATCAAACCAGCCTTTATTGAATATAACTAGTGAAAATGGAAAGAACTATCAGTAATAGTTGTGGGAAAAACCTGTTAAAAATGGAAGAAAAACTAAAAATATTGTTCTTTTAATAAAGAGCAATTTAGGATGCTGCAGAGTTTTGCTTTGCCTGTTTCAAAATGGCATGATGGCATCATACTGTTTCAGCAAGGCGATTCAGATGTTTATCATGTCTGTAGGTACTGACTGGCTCAGGTAGCCCACTGGCACAGGTGGTTTTGACAGTTGCGGATGGGACTTCTGTTCTGAGGACAGCTCATAAGATACGATGACAGCGGTGGAAGATTGATCCCATGGTTTCTCACTACAGATCTGTTGTACTCCTGCTGGTGTTAAACCCAGCTCGTATTTTGTTAGCGCAGTGGCCCCTTACTCTCATTGGTAGGTTTGGAGCGGACACGGCTCTTCCTAGTTAACATCTTCAAAGTGCTTAGGAATCCAATTCAATTCATTCAACTGCAAACTTTAATTGTTCAGGGAGTTTGAAACTTAAATGGAGAAACAAAAGTCCATGGTTAACTATGAAATACAAGTAGATTAGATTTGAAGTTCTAGCCAATAAAAGCTGTAACATACGACACGAACACAAGAAAGGGAGAAATGAATTTTGATGGAGGGAGAGCACAGTCATAAAGCAAGAATCAGTTCAGTAGTTCTGGCTTCTTGTTAACCATTGAAAATGCTCTGGAAATGCTCGACTCCACTGTACAGGGGAAAATGGCTTTATAAAAACTGCTCTCAGAACTGTTGCTTTAAATAATACTACTTACCTGGAAACTGATGGGACACAGTTCCCCACAAGCTTGGAGTATTCAGAATTTTTATCTTCTTTAAGAGACCTAGTTGCTTGCATAATTTGAAATTACATAAATATTGTTGCATAGATTAATTGTGAAAACAAAATGATAAAATTAAAACTAACCCTTTTGAATATGGAGTTTATATAACAAATAAAATACTTGCTAGTTAAGTATTGGATTGTCAGAAAAGTCATAGCCTATTTTTTCTATGCTTTTCATTGCAAAAATGCATCATGACTTTTCCAACAACCCAATATTTTTCTGACTAAATTTGAGAGATATTTCTTTGAAATGCAGGCAATCTACATTTACTTTTCAGCAGAACCATAAATACCTATTTGCCATGGGCCTTTGGGTTGCAGTCATGAGAAACATAAATGACATTTCCTTGAGTTTGGAGAGCATAGTGTACTGTTTCGATTACTAAATAGCATTTTGGTTTTGGTTGCCTTTTCTCTGTATGAGAATAATGAAATATTTTATTTTCTTGCTTCATTGGGGAACACAGATTAAGTTTGATCCCTTCCACCACCAATTTGTGTAGAAGAGACCATGGAAGAGGAGTGCTGCTAAAATATACAGGGATTTCTAGTAAGCAGGGACGTACAAATCCAGGAAGATATTCAGAATTTTCAGAGTTCAGAACAGTGGAATATGAGGCTTGCAAAGGGGAAAGAAAGCTAGCTGGCACTGTGTACCAGGCATTGTGCTAGGGACTTTTCTTAGTTTATCTAATCTTAACCTCTCCATCTATTTTATAGGGTACTTTGTTTCTTTTTTTTTTTTTTTCTTCCTTTGCTTCCTTTATTTTTCTCTCCATTCCTCTCATCCCCCTCTTTTTTCCTTTGGTTTTACTAAAGTATTTTAAAGCAAGTTCCAAAGAGCATATTATTTTACCCATACATATTTAATGTACATCTTTGAGCAATATGGACATTTTTCTACATAACCATAGTGCCATTATCACACTCAACAAGATGTTAATTCTTTGGTACCATCTAACTCCCAGTGTATAATCCAGGCACATGGCTTCTTTTGATGGGCTTATTTGAATATTTGAATCTGCATCTACACATGGTTCACATATTGCATTGATTGTTGATCTACACCAGGGGTCGGCAAACTTTTGAGATGGAAGAGCCACTAGGGATCAGCTAACTGCGGCTCGTGAGCCACATGCGGCTCTTTGGGTACGTACATGTGGCTCTGAAGTAAAATTGAAAATGAAAATAATACTATCATAGTTTTATTTATAAAATATTTAAAGGATATTATTCACATAATGGTGATTATGTAAAAATATATTTATGGCTCTTGAATAATTTTTAAATTGTTGTGAGGGACAGGATTGGCTCTTCCAGGGGTCTGCAAACTTTTGAGACAGAATGCACCCCAAAGAGCTGCATGTGGCTCGTGAGCCACAGTTTGCCGACCCCTGGTCTAGACGGTTCCCCTGCGTCTCCCCGCCACCCCCTTTTCCTCCCATTCACTCACTGGTTGCAGAAACTGGGTCACTTGTCCCATAGAATTCCCATATACTGGATACGTCTGTTTGCCCCCTTGTGGTGTCATTTAATTTGGATCTTTATATCTCACATTTCCTATAAACTTGAAGTTAGCACTAGAGACCTGATTGGTTTGAAGCTCAAATTTTTTCACAAAAACTTCAAAGGTGGGCTTCGAGCTTCATATTACATCATATGAGGAGACCACAGTGTCTGGTTGTCAAACTTCTGGTGATGCGAACATGAATTGCCTTTGTTGATAAATTGACTTTTCATGACCTGTTGATAATCTTTGTCTGAAACAGTTATTTTCTTAAGGGTTGCAAAATTATGATTTTCTAGTTATATCATTACTTCTACATTTATTAGTTGGATTTTTTTTCCTAGTAAAAAATTCTTTCCCTCATCAGTTCAGACTATCTGACTACCCTGAAATACAGTTTATACAGAAAAGGCCACATAAAGACATATATTTGTTCTTTTTAATTGCCAGATTTTAGATACGGGATTAGAGCTTTAGTGGAAGATGTTTTTTCTTCTTTTTCATTTTACAGATAGAGAAGTTGATGCTCAGAGATGATAAGCGAATTGTTTAAGATCCCAATTAGCTATTAAGGAGCAGAAATTGTATTCAAACCAGCATCTTCTGGCCTCAAAAGCATATGCTATTTCTGCCAAACCAGAATGCACCCCTGCCCTCCACTCCCAGTTGCTGACAGCTGATGGTTGCTACTGCAGATATTTTCCACTGCTTTGCCCTTTCGGAACCAGGTCCTGAGAACCCTCCTTTGCAGCATGCTGGGCTTTATAAACTTACGTAGTATTTCAAAACTATAGCTCCAAATGGAGGTGCTGGCCTGGGCAGGCAAAGAACTGGGCAGAGCCAGGAAGCATGTTACACTGTCTAGTAGGAGAGGCTTTAGGCTTTGCAGTCTGCTTTAGGCTGCTGCAGCCAAAGTGTGAGTCACCAAGTTATGGTTGGAGCAGATCTCAGTGATCCGAACAATTGGAAGTGTTGTCAGATGTTAAGTTGTCAGATGCCTTAACTTGGGGCAGCTGGTTGGCTCGATTGGTTAGAGCGCAGGCTCATAACACCAAGGTTGCCAGTTCGATCCCCACATGGGCTACTGATACGTGCCCTCCACAACTAGACTGAAACAACTACTTGACTTGGAGCTGATAGGTCCTGGAAAAACACACTCTCCCCCCCCCTCCCCGAAAAAAGATGTCTTAACTTTTCTAAATGTTCTCCCCTTTCTTCGGCCACCCCCACCCCCTGCCATTCTAGATTTGAGAGGAAAATTTAGCTAACTGCTTAAACATTAGTTTACAATCCTGAAACCTCAGTTGACAGGATGTGTCCTGGCATCTGGCCCCACCCACCACTCAGGAGCAGTGGCCCTTTTGTATCTTAGAGTAGTGTGAGGAAGCAGAGATCATATCGTAAATGTGGGAGATTTTCTTGGCTTTGTGGCATCTGCAACATCATGGGCTTCTGATGCTGGAGTCCCTACCTGACTCAGAAAAAGAACTTTTTCCAATACTTCATACAACCCAGAAGTATAAAATCTTCTTTAGTATCCTTCACGTTTCACCCCTCCCATCAACATGGCGGTCTACATTAGAAACAAACAAATAACAAACCCTAGAATTGCAGTTGGAGAGGTTTCCTTTGCTTACTGTGGCTAGAGGCCCTCTCAGCCTCTGTGTTTCATGACATACCTCCAATAAAGAAGGCTGCATTCCTGCTCTCCCAGGCCAGTGCCAAAATTCCTTAAATACCTACATTTTATACACCAGACGAAAACTTATGCTGTCTTTATCCTTGTTTACAGGGGATTGTGATTTGCCCCATGAAAACATGCTTTCAGCTGCAGTTCTCTGAAGCAGCTCCCTAGAAAAAACAGGATAGCAGTTCTGTAATCTACCTTGAAAAGATAAGGTCAGAGACAGAATCTAGATAGAAAGAATGGGAAAAGAGGATAAAAAACAGTGTTGCCGTTCAGAATAGTCTTCATAAAATTATGTTTAAATGTTAGGTTTCTGTATTGAACATCTGGCACCAGCCCTGTGTGGCTACTGAGCCTGTGAAATGTGGCTAGTGCAACTGAAAAACTTAACTTTTAGTTATATTTCATTTTAATTAATTAAAATTAAAATTTAATAGCACACGTAGGTGTGGGTTACCGTACTGGGCAGTGCAGATCTGGCCATATACTTTTTTTTTTTTAATTTCTGCTAACAATATACACAATTTGGGGCTGTTATAAAATTGTTCAAAAACGGAAGGCACCAATTTCATTAATCTTTGTGATGAATTTCCCTTGTTAAATTAGATTTGTAATGACTTAGAAATTCTAGCCTCCTTTTGCAAAGACAAACTTTTATTATGAGACTAACTTCCTGGAAAAATAAATTATGCTCAAACTTTGATTTTTAAAATGAGTATGAATTATATGCGTTAGTGACGATGGTTACACAATGATGGGAATGTACTTAATGCCACTGAATTATACACTTAGAAATGGTTAAAATGGCAAACTTTGTGTTAAATATATTTTACCACAATAAAAAGTTATATGCTTTATTTTCTCTCATTGGGCCTGATTTTAATTTAATGTTGTTAAAATCTCCCACTGCCCATAGGCCTTGCTGAGAACCTGGTCCGGCACATTCCTGGCTGCAGTGTTTTTCTCTTTGGTGAGGCCGACCTGCCTGAGAAGCGCACTCTTGTCCAGAGAAGGAAGCAACTGGGCTGGTTCACAAGGAGGGATTTCAGTGCTCTTAAACCTGACCTGGGAGCAGCACCTGCCCGAAGATGTGGTTTAACAGGTGCTCAGTATAGTTTTTTCTGGTTTTGTTTTTAAACTTGATAATAGATTTCCTGAGATACCCTTAATTTCATCCCTCCTGTGTTATAAGTTACAATTAGGGCTCATTGAATTGGGTGAGGGACACTTCTTGACTCTTACTCTCACCCATGTCTTCCTAAGCTGCCCTGAGAGGCTAGAAGCCCTGGTCAGATATTGGATGCAAGTCCCCTACAGTGATAGTCAAGAGATATAACGATCCCTGCGGCATGGCCGCTGATAAGAGTGGTGGTAACTCCTGATGCTGAGAGAGGATCTCGGAGGCCTGCCACTGTGCCAGGTGTGAGGTTGTATCCTGGGGTGTGCTGGAGACCCTTGGCGGGTGAGGACTTGGGTAGAGGTTACTTTTAGCTGGTAGGAAAGTCTTTCAGAATTTGACCATCCAGGGTAGCCAAGTTGATGCATACAGCTGGAAATCAGTTCTGGAGGCACCTGGACAACAGCTCTCTAGACAACATGCTCCCTCCCCCTTCCTCTCACCAGCTCTTGCCTCTCTCTGCTACCACAGCCCTCCCTGCCTCTCTCCATTCTTGGGACTTACCTTAGGAAAAAGCAGCAAAGCCCCTCTCCAAAACTCCATCCCCATTTCCTGCACTTTGCCATCTTGGTACCATTTATTCGAGTCTTAATTCTTTCATTCAGATAACTTCTGTAGGGGTCACAAATTAAACCACATCAGGTAACATTTTGGTAGTCAGTTAATACCTCAGCAGTTACGAAAATACTGGATCCCCAAGGAACAAGAGGTGGTGGGCAGGCCTAGATACACGTTTCCTCATAGGACAGCTCTGCCGCAGTCACACTAAGGCCTTTGGTTACTTGAACCCCTGGTACAGAATTGCTCTCAAACGAATGGTGTCTATAATCAGGTAGAGTAGTGCAGCAAAAACAGCACAAGCTTCGGGGCTATGCTCCAGTCCTGGCCTTGCTGTTTATTGGCTGTGGGACCTCAGCCAATAAGAGAGTTTTTAACTCGTCAGGCCTCAGTTCTCGTGTCTATGAAATGGACATAATAATCGTAAGACTGTGAAGTTGAAATAATGTCTAAGTGCCAACCGCAGTACCTCCTGTCTTCCCTGTAGACAGGAGGTGTATAAAAAAAGTGATTATAAATGTGTGTCAGTATTTAGTTATGGAGAAAACGAAGAAACTGATGGCTCCCTGCTAATTTGAACCTCACATGTTTTCCCACGATTTGTCTCACAAATGTAGAAGTGTAAGTTTTGTGACTAACTTCTCAGAAATCCATTTCCTGGTTTCTAATTTGAGCCTCACTAAAAACTGAAGGGATTATACCACAGACCTAGGCAGTGCAGTGCCAGGATTACTCAGTGGGTGGGAATTAGAAACAGGAATTCCAGTGTGAGAGTGCAGAAGAGCCGGCGTTGGCGTTGGTTAGGCAAACCCTTGACAAATGTAATTCTCATTTCTGCAGTGCTGTCAGAATGAATGGGTCAGGATTTGGGGAGAACTTTAACCTGACATAAAAAGCATATCTGAGTTAAAAGACCAAATGTTCAAAACGGGCACTAACGTGTTTAAAGCTGGTATTTTCAAGACAGTATTTGATACTGGTAAATTTGTAGTTGCAGGCACTCAGACTGCGAGTGGGGCTATCAATTGGTTTAAACTTTTTGGAAATGAGTTGGTGATATGTTATCAAGAGTTCTAAAAGTGTATATAGCTGCCTTGCAGCAATTCTAGTTCTAGTGATAAATCCTAAGGAAATCATAAAAGGTAAGTATACTTGTGTACAAATATATTTATCAGAGCGCTATTTGTAATAGCAAATACAGGAAACATTGTAAATTTTCAATAGTTGAAAATGATTAAATAAACTATGGTGTGTGTACCTAAGTGAAAGATTATTATGCAAGCAATTAAGCGTGACCTTTTGGAAGAATTTTTAGGGACATGGAATATACAATACAATGTAGAGAGAATTTGTAATTAATTAATGCAACAAATATTTATTAAGTACCTAGTATGTGCCAGGCAGTATCATCAGTGGGCAAAATAGAATTCATATCCCCTCAAAGAATTTATATTCCAGTGGGCAGGGAGTGAGGGGACAGACAAATAAGAAGCTTACTCAATAATGAGTTTTGTAGCCTGTTCGAAAAGGACAAGCGCTACAGCCCCTCCCCCCCCCAAAAATCATGAGTTCGGGCTGGAGGTGAATTGAGATTTTAAATGGGATAATCCGAAGTCGGCCTCACTGTGAAGGCAGCACTGGGAGGAGTGAGGCTGTTAGCCATGTGGAAATATGGATAAGAATCTCAGATAGAGGTTATGAATAACCAGTGTCAAGGCCAAAGCATATAAAGTAGTATAAACAATATGCTCTCAGTAGTGTAAAATAGATCTGCATCAATTTATCTCATATCTTTACAAAAAAAATTATTTTTTAAATTTGTATTACTTCTAACTTATTTTCATAATTTCCCTAAATCAATATTGCGAATTATTATTTTCCATCATCTTTTATGAAGGACCATTATTAAGGTTGATCAGTGGTCAGTTTTATAAAAGCTGGGTTTCAATGTATTCATTCAGACTGGATTCAGTGGATGATTTAAGATAAGTAGGGAAAAATAGCACAACTTTTTCCCCACGTGTCTTTTTTTGCTACTATCTGCTGGTAAGTGGTAGAAACCTTAGTTTGTGCAAAACCATGAAAACAAGAGTTGCCAAGGTTAGGCAACCATTGTTCATCCAGAGGCTCCTCATTCAATAGTCTCAAAGCAGGTGCTGACCACAGAAAAATAAAATGTTTCAAGGAGGAACAGTGAGTAAGGGATGTGGATAAACAATTAGTTTCTAATATTTCACAAACCAGATTGGAATCCAAGTTTAAGACACATGATTAGCCCAAATCTTAGGTTACCTTATTTGCACAAATTCTTCCTTAAAAAAGATTTGTGTAGTAGGGAGTAAAATGCTTTCATTTTTTAAAGTAATATCCATTGAAGTAGAATTTATAACACCTCTGTCATTAGGGTATAAATGTTATTCATCTAATTTTTCAATGAATTCAGTTCCCAACGATGGTGGTTTCTCTTCTTATTTTTAAATTTAATGGCTTTATATATTTTTCTAACATTTTTTTTAGTTATATCAGTTTCTCAACATATTTTTCCACTTGTCCCATCAAAACAGAAAAGCCTTAACACATTGTTGCTGTTTATTTCTTTTCCTAAAAAAATTAAATAGAAATGATTGGTGCTATCAACTGAACACTTACAGTTAACTTTTCAGTGACAAATTAATCTACGCAGTACCCAAAAGGAAGCAGAATCTATAAGGGAACAGGTTTCTGTTTTGAAGTTCCCTAAGAATATTATAAACAGAAAAGAAAAAAAGTGAGCTCAGAAATGATTAACACTCTCAGTCAGTGCCAAACACACAAAATCTTTTAAACCAAATTCCTTTTAAAAGTTTGTAGTTGGCCAGCTCGTGGGGAACATAAATAAGGGCAAAGCAGTAATAGTTGATAGTTTTAGATCTTTTATACATATATATTTAAAAACTCTAAACATTTATGGGATAATTTAAACACTGCTGGCTGATATGTTATATGAATGGCCTGCATATACTGTGTGCATCATTGTTTAAAAATACAGGGACAATTCTTTGAACTATAGTTTCATATGATGCTTGAAGAATCATAGATGGAGGTAATTGGTACATCTTGGGATCACGGACTTCTGTTTAGTTATTTAAATGGGTTACTGAGAGCTGCCCCTGCTACTGCACTCTTTGTAAATAAGAAGTGCAGCATCAGGCATTTTTCTTGACATTGAATAACGCAATTTGACTCCACACCAAAAATTTTACTTAGTCTTTGAAAACTAATTTCCTGTTTCAGAATGAGTCTTTGAAGTTTTAAGGAATTATTTTCATAATTCTCTATGTTTGCTTGTAAACCTACTTGGGATGATGGAAGATGAAAGTTTGAATGTGTAATTAAATGTGTAACCTGTGGTAGAAACATGAAGGACCTAGGCATCGTCTCTGTGTAACTGGTGGAGGGCACTGTCCTGCTACGGAATACTTGGGGACAGGCCGGTCACCTGAGGTCCCCCTCACCTGGCTTGGTGTCATTCCAGGATGACGTTAATGTGTACCTACCTCTGTAATTTCTCCTCTGAATTATTGCTATCCTGAAGGATTTAAAGTTGAGAAATTGAGACACAGTTCCTTGCAGAGCGGGAAAACATCGTAGCCATTTTGCAGAAAAGCAGCTGAACAAAAGGCAGTGTCCTGAAGCGGCAGAACTTGAATTCAGATCCCTGGGGAGCCATTCCTAGCCCTGGGCCCCCTGGTTCTCGCTTAGCTTTCTTTTCTATGGATTGGGCCTCATGCATAAGAGTCCTGCTTTCTTTCTGCCATGCGAGCATTGGACTTAGCAATTATCCTTGAGTTTTACAGCTTTAGGCATCAAAAGTCCTGTTTCAGCTGTGGTTTCTTTTTAGTACTTGTTCTGAAAAATGTAAAGTACTGATATGTAAGGATGACTAATTGCTTTCGGTGTAATAACTGTGTATATATTTGAACCTGAGTTCCAAGCCTGTTGCCCGGCTCTGTTTGTCACTCTGAAGCAAAGACCACTTTTAGGCTAGCTAGGCCTTACCTTAATTTACCTCCACCTCATTTTTATGCCCAGCAACCTGCATTGTTCCTGGCACTCAGCAGGTTTTCAGTGAAAACATATTTACTGAGGGAGTTGCACATTGGTCCACGAGAATCTATCTATTCACACTATAATGAAATCCACAAATTTGAAGTTCTCTCTTCAGATATAAAAATGTCAAATACCCCAAAACATCACCTCAGCTCTCTCCTCACTCATGCGTCAATACTTTCCACCAAAGGGGAGCTTAATATAATAAATAGAACTTCTAAAGATATCCCAAAGCAACTCTGACCCCCTAAAATGAAACTTTCCATGGAGGAAAAGAGATAGAATCTTTCACCTTGAATTGATTGAAGATGATGGTGCCTGGAACTATTTTTGAGAATAGAGGAAGAAAGGACATGTGTTTCTTCTGCGTGCGTTTTCATTGTTCTAATGGGCTCTTCACTATTGTTTTGTCTGAATGCAGTTTTTTATTTGTGTTATTCCAGACGTGGTCCTACCACAAGCATCTTTAAACCAGACATTAATAGCATAGTTCACAGTCATTACTGCCAGTGCTCAAACACAAATATTGCATTTGTGTTTGCAAAAGCTACACATCAGATGTTAATTAAGTGCATTTGGTTTTTTTCTGCTTAAACAATCTGGCATAAAGAGTTTACATCTATATCAGTTCACCATAAGGTCTCTACAATATCTGAATCACCAGCCATGCAGTATATGATAAATACAGAGTTTCCACACCAGAAAATAACGGAATTGTCAGGAAAACATCAGGCCTGTTATATTTCCCCGTGAAATAATAGCAGCTAAATCTCAGTTTCTTGCTCTTTTTGATTAAAAAAAATTATTTAACTGGGAGTAAACACCAATATTTAGAATAATAAATTTTTCATTAGAGAACACATGGAAAGTGAAATCCTACCAAAGATTTTTTTCCATGTTTTTAGCTTGCTTCAGGGCATTGTGACAGTTGCGTTGGAATAAAATGGGGATTTGAGCTTTGCAGTGAGGAGGTTCTGCTGCCACCAGAGCAGCGAGTGCCAGTCTGCAGGAGGCAGGAGTGGAGAGCAAAACCGCAAACTGAGATACAAACTTTCATATCAGGTTTCTAATTTTAGAGTAAAAAATGGTGTTACTTTAATTATATGACATTTAACTAGAAATATGATTTGCTGGGATTAATTATCTCCCTTATTTAAAAATTCTTACTAAGTTTGAATTAGCATAAAAAGTCAAATTCAGCTTTTGAATCATGTCAATGGGACTGCTGGATTTAAAAGCAGAATTTGATTCATTAGAATTAGATCGCCATAGTGGCGCTGGGTTTGGGAAGGATTAAATGGAGGAAATTGGAAAAGCATGCATTTGCACAGAAAACAGTTATCTCTCTCTCTCTCTCTATCTATCTCTACCTCTATCTCTGTCTACCTCTACCTCTCTCTCTCTTTCCCTGCCTCTCTCTCTTTTTCTTTTCTTTTGGAGAAATGGGTCATGGCCTCATACCTCAGGAAGAAAACTACTACCTGATTAGGTCAGAAACTTCTCAGATTCATTGGCTGTTCTTAGCAATAAAACAAAGTAAATTATTGTGTAACTGAAGTTTAATGGAAGAATTTTAAATCCACCCAACAATGGTGTACATGAAAAGTGATCATCCTGTGTTAAGTGGTTACCTCTTATTTTATTTAAAAGAGAATACAAAAGTTACTTCTGATGTTTAGTTTTATTTTTTTCTAAGAAACAATGAACTTTTAGGTATGGTTTCGAAAGCATTTTTTAAAATAAGGTGTTTGTTTTTAATTAAGTGAATCAATGTTGGGACAAGTGTATTTTTTATCAAACTCTTGTGCTCTGGACTTAAGATCTAAACTTTTTCTATCTTTAATAATTTATCTTAGGCAATGAATTAATTTATTAGCAAGAATGATCAACTTTGGAAATTCTAAAAAAGGGACAGTTATTGGGCACGTGGTGGTACCTTGTAATTTGCTGGGTGGGGAATTCAGGCAAAGTCCTGTGGCTGTAGGGATGGAATGGCCTATCCATCAAAGTGTAAGGGGGAAGCGCCCTGGGTCCATGTAAAGGAATTCCCATTGAAAGTGACTTGCTCCCCCAAGCTGATCAATTACATACGAATTTCTGAATGTTGATTGGGCCTATCAAAGTTCTGGAATAGCAAAGCACAGGAGGTCCAATATGTATTTTGAATAGTGGTTGTACTTCCTGTAACCCAGTGTATATGTACTTTTCAGCAAAATCCTAGTGAGATTGTTGGAGCAACAGTAAAGATAAGGCCACTTCTTGAGTCAGACTAGGGTGTGCATATCAGATTTGAGGAAATGGGACTATTTGTAAATGTTACCTCTTGAGGGATGGAGGAAAGCTTGGGTGTTTTTCTTTAATGAATGACATTAGCACTGACAAAAAAAAATTCCAATATACTCTGTGAAATGTTAAAACTGATATACTTCTCAAAGATATTTAGAGTAAGTGATTGGTGTATGAGATTATGAGAGAGAGAAATATATTGACTTTTAGGAAATTTAAGTTTTATGAAATCAGCATTATGGAGAAATACTGTAATCTGATTCATTCCTGCAGAATTCCCAGGAGGAAGAGGCCTAACCTCGGGAGTTGAAATGTTTCATTATGTACATGTGTGGGAAAAAGATGAAATGTGGGTTTCCGTGTGCTGATTTTCTGTAAAGCATCTATTAGTCTGAGAGTGCCCAGGCTAGGCAGCAAAGCCCCCAAACCACGGCTGTCTAGGGGAAAATGAGCCCAGAAGGATATTTCTGATGGATACTGACATCATGAGCAATAAGTTTGAAAGTAGCAAGAAAAAACAGTGACAGTAAAATAATGTTGAAATAGTAGCTAAGGAATTGTCATATGCTGAAGATGAGGTCAGCCTTTTATCCCCCATCAATCCCTAATCAACTTTGCTTTTAGAAATGTAAGGTTTCACCAAAATGAAGAAACTGCAAACCTAAGCTTTTTATACCAATGCTAATTTAACCAAGTTGTCCATCTTATAATGTAAACTATAATTAGAGCAGGGCTATTTATGTAACATGAGCTGCACCATCCCTGAGGCAGGGAAATGCAGGACATTTGCCCCTGGGCTCTACAGTAACAGAGCTCTAGAGTGGCAGTGGCAGTCCCGGTCCCTCGGGAAGCTGGGGGTGGAAGAAAGAGGCGTCTCCGACAGGTTATACGACAGAAAGTGTACACAGTGCTCCCAACCCTGCCAAGCCCACATTGTCATGAGACACAAGTGGCTTTGCCCTTCCCAATTCCAAGGCTGTTTGTCACTTTTTAAGTGACCTCCTTCTGTAATCAAGACTGGTGTTGAGGTTCACTTGAATTGGATGTGAGCCTAATTCAGTAATGACAGGTGTGTGTCTGGGGAGAAGAGGGTGAGTACAGAGTATGTGATTCACTCCTGTCTCCGAGGCCCATAGGCCTGAAACGGAATTCCAACCCCTGTGGAGATGGCCTTGGAAATGAATGAAAGGCCAAGGCTTTTTGCTGCAGTTGATATTTAATTCTAAAATGTGCTTTCCTTTTTTCTGCTGATATTTCGGAAAGTCTAGGCTCTCCTTAAGTATTCGAAGAAAAAACACCCTTCAGATACATTTAGAGTAAATAAAAGTATCTGCTTGTAGCTCAAATTGCTGTGTTATACACATACAATACCCACACCCACACACCCACACAAGGGATTTGAAAATTAAGCTCGTGAACTTGTTACAATGATGTTGCTACCCTTTTTTGATATCAGAGGGATTATTCATTATGAATTCGGACCAACTGGACAGTTAATCAAGTTTACTATTTGGAAGTGCTGAAAAGGCTGCATGAAAAAGTTAGGTGACCTGAACTTTTCGCCAACAATTCATGGCTCTGGCATCACGACCGTGCACCATCTCACGACACTGTCTGTAAATGAGTTTTTAGACAGCAAACAAATAACTGTATTGGAACATCCTCCCTACTGACCTGATCTGGCCCCCAATGACTTCTTTCATTACCCGAAGAGAAAGGAAATATTGAAAGGAAGACATTTTGATGGCATTCAGGACATCAAGGGTAATATGACAACAGCTCTGATGGCCATTCCAGAAAAAGAGTTTCAGAATTGCTTTGAAGGGTAGACTAGACACTGACATCAGTGCATAGCTTCCCAAGGGGAATACTTAGAAGGTAATCATAGTGATATTCAGCAATGAGGTATGTAGCACATTTTTTAGGATGGGTTCGCAAACTTAATTGTCAGTCCTCGTGTGTGTGTGTGTGTGTACACATACATACTTGCACACACACACACACACACACACACACACAGAGTATGCCAAAACAATGTATACACATTTTAAGAAAGGAAAAAACTATTAAAATTGTAATACTCAATATATACCGATAACAAAAGATGAATACAAGTCACATTTGACTTCTGCAATTACAAGAGGTGCTCAAAGTGGTTACCATCAGCGTCCAGACACTTCTGATTATGGCGAGCTACTGCTTGAGCAACATTGACCAAAGTATCCACCTGTATACATTTTTTGGGCAACCCCTCGCCTTTAGGAAATTCTGGAGCTGATAAAGAGAAGTATTTATATTATTTTAAAACAAAACCAAGTAAAGGAAGCTCCTAGGGTTAAAATTGGCTAAAGAATACAATCTTCAAAGTGAGGCTTTTGGTTTTTGTTTTAGTAACATGCTTTTCTAATGATTTAGGCATCGGTGCCAGCCCGTATGTGATGAACTGCAATGTTACCATAGACTCTCAAGACTTGGCTTTGGGAAAAGAGATCGCAAGTGCCATCCGGGGCTCACACGTGAATGGATTGAAGGGCGTCCAATCAATGGCTTTTCCCCATGAGGGGAAAATTGAGATAGCTTGCAATGTAGAGAGTTTTGAAGACCAAGAACCTACAGAAACCTCAGACGACTCTCGATACATGGCTTACAGTGTCCTTGGGGACCAGTTTTCTTATGTATCTCCTCATTACATAGAAGCTCAGATTAAAAAGTTGGCAAGTGATCGGGGAATTGGTACTATAGGGAGAGCATTAATTGGATTTACACCCCAAGAGTGCAAGAACTGTGCCGAGTATGCTATAAAGAAAAGTATTGGCGAATTCTGGAAGATACGGGGAGGTATTTTCATGTGATCCAGTTTAAGGCTTTATTGAAATTCTAAGGAAAAATATCAGTCATTAAAAAATTTTCTTTTGGCCGCTGAAGATGAGGAGAAGATACAAATAGATGGTTGTGGCTGTGTATTGGGAAATTGGGAACATTCTCTGTCTTCATAGATTCCCCATAATTGTCCTATGATATTCTACTCATCAGTAAAACTTCATGAACTCCTGCTCTGTGTCAGGTTTATGCACTTGTGTGCATTAGAAACCCTACTGAATCAGTTGAGTAAAATGGCCATGTTGCTGAACCACTTTTAATTATTGAAAACAAAACAAAAAATGGACTCAATTTACTTGATTTTCCCAAATTCTTTATCTCCAGGTTCTGTATTCAACTTACATTTTTTGAGTAATCTTTTTTTTAATGTGCACTTTAAAAAATCAAGTACTAAGTGACTCAAAAGTGGAGAGAATTATAAAATAAAATTACTCTTTCAAAGCATTATTCTTTTGGTGTCTTCCCACTTTTAGGATGACCCGTTGTTCATTCTAGAGCAGTGGTTCTCAACCTGTGGGTTGCGACCCCTTTGGGGGTCGAACAACCCTTTCACAGGGGTCGCCTAAGACCATCGGAAAACAAAAAGATATTTACATTACGATTCATAACAGTAGCAAAATTACAGTTATAGAGTAGCAATGAAAATAATTTTATGGTTGGGGGTCACCACAACATGAGGAACTGTGTTAAGGGGTCACGGCATTAGGAGGTTGAGAACCACTGTCCAGAGATAACTCCAAAAACCTGATTTGTCTAATTTTTTAATGTTTATATAGGAATATGGAATGATGGGGTTGGGCATGACTTCAAGGAATTGTGTTTATCCTTTCTGGAATTTAAATGGAAAGTCTGAAGGTTTAGGGAATATATTGCTTTCGAGCAAAGAGAAGAATATCAGTGGAAGAATTTTAATTGAAAGAAATCAAAATACGTAGCCTCTTTGTGAACTAAAAGAAACCACTTGTTGACTGGCAATTTTATGTAAATCTTTAGTATTTATGTTGCTTTAGTACAAGCTACTTTCTATCCATACAGCACAAAGAAATGTATTTTTCCATAGACTTTGTTTAGCAAGAAAGATTATGGCCTTATCTAAAAAGAGCACATAATGTGAATTTGTTTTAAGGAATTAAAAGTAAAAAAAGAGGTTGAAATCAATCTTTTTATAGGCTCCAGTAATCTATCCTGAATGTGTGTGTATGTATGTGTGTGTGTGTGTGTGTGTGTATATATATATATATCTTACTTACATTCGATTCTTGAATCTGATTGCATTAATTCTGTTCTAGAATTATGCTTCTTTGAGAGTTTTCTTTTCACTGTCAATATAAATACAGGAAAAGATGGAGAAACAGTAGCCTAGGTTTGTTTTTCAGGCAGGAAGTTTAGTTGCTGTGGTGAAGAGTGCAAATGCCGCCTGGTTAGATCCGATGGGTCAGTTTCTGTCTGTGGGATCTGAGGAGTAGCACCTCATTCTTTTGTCACTTTGGCAGAGGCCACACAGCCTGATAGAATGAGCACTGGGCAGTGGATTGGAGGGCTTGGGTTCCTGTCCATGCTCTTAATTTTCATGTAGCCATAGTTCCACTACCTTTAAAATAGGAGAAGAGTTCTCACCATGAACTAGGGCTGTATTCTGGGGAACTAAATGGAGGGGCTTTGTAAGCTGTAGCATAAAAATGAAATGTATCGTTGATACTCTTTCCAGATCTAGTCTAGAGCTTTGCTTCAGTTTTGGGCATCAACAGATGAGAAAGGGTAAAAGCCCATGGTGCCACTGAGTCATTTGGGGTTGTAAGAGGAGTTGATTCAGTTGCCAGTTACCTAAATTAACCTCTCCAGGTTCCTATCGCTGCATTACAAACTGCTGGCTTTGAACAAGGCCTATTTAAAATCAAATATCTATTTAATGGATCTAGAGTTTCAGTTTTGGAAGATGAAAAATATTGTGGAGATAGATGGTGGTGATGATGGTTGCACAACAATGTGAATACTTAATGCCACTGAACCATATACTTAAATGGTATATTTAATGGTGAATTTTACATTTATGTATTTTACCACAAATAATTTAAAAGTATATATTAAGTCCACAAAAGTTTTAAAAAGACAGAAAAAAACAAAACATCTGAATAAGATAATTTCACTAAGTCCATACTTTGTAAATAAAATTTTGGCAAATTTCTAATATTCATTAAAGCATGCCAATATACAAGACAGTTTTTCCCTTTTTAATCTATTATGATGGACTCTTGACACTACATAATTACATTTGAGTTTTAGTTAATGCTTTAAAATAGAGGTGATTAAATTTGGCCTTTGATTCAGCTATTTAAAAACAGTGATTTACTATTTTTTGTTATAAACAATGTTTAGAACCAGCACAGTCATACTTTTTACCTCTTGTTCATATTCAAATTCCCCTGTTCTTTCTATTGTCTTTCTTTCCCTTCTCCCTTGCTCCACCACAGTTCTTCAGAAAACCTGAAACAGCTGTAAGTTGCCGAAGGGTTAGCCAGTGGACAGACACCTTATCATCAGCTCTTCCTACGCCAGAGCTGGCAGGAGTAGATGGGATGGCTCCGTGACAACTACGGTTTATCAAATGGGTTGCGAAAAGCTGACAACATGAACTAATAAATACTCTAACTCATATTAACTATTTCTCATATTGGCCTCTTAGAAACAAACAAAGTCTGTGCAAATGTTTCTGCAATATCTTTTTTTTTCATCCAACCACAGAGTGGACATTGTATGGAGTGTGGCTTCATAGCTCGTTTAACCTCCATCTCCTGCCAGATGACCTTGTCCGTGACTTGTGCCAGCTGTGAATAGGACAACATTGATGTGGACAAATACAAGTTTACATTTTATCAAATCTTTCATGTTTCTGCTCTGCCCGACTTGAAACTTCAACTTTTCATTTCTTAGAAGAGGTACAAGGAAAGCAAAAAGCAGGCTATGAGGGCGATAAGGGCTTTTGTTACTGTTTTTTGTTTTCAGAGGGGTTTTCATTTGTTTGCATCCTGAGTTTGGGCTTGACTCAACCATAAATTAAAACTACTTCAACTTAAGGGGGAGGAGCGGGCTAAGTAAAATATAACTGCAAAATAAAACAAAATGGGGGGATAATATTTTCATTCTTCCACATAATGAAAAGCCTTGCTCTGTAATTGGTTTGTACTGCCTTGGAGGTGGCGTCCGTGGTCCACAAAGGACCACTCTATGAGAGATCTGCAAGGAATTTATCATTCCCTCTGGCTGAGCCAGCGCAGGCTTGATATACAGTTTTGTTTAGTATAAATATTCTCATGTTACTGTTTACTCTGTGGGGATATGAGGATCTCACTGACAGGGTACGTGCTCCACTGCCTTGCTTTTAAAAGGCATTTATTTGACTCTGCTGTTTGTACTTACCCCGAAACTTCAGAGGACGGCCCAGGAACTTGTTTGATAAGCATCCAGACCATGCTCCCGGAGTATGTCGTGCTCGGGGGTTAGAAAAGCTTATTGTTTTTAGCAGGCCTGCACATGGCTTTGAAGGAGCCCATTTTTCATATGGAAGAACAATTCGGACACCAACAGCCGTCTCTTAGAATGCTCTTCTAAGCTGTACCAAAAGACCCTGCTGAGCGGAGCTCTGGTGAGCTCAGCCTGATGTTGGATTACTCTGCCACTTCTTTTGTCCCTTTTTGAAGTATTTTGAGGCAATTTCATTTGTTGTGAATTAAGATGTGAGTCAGAGACCTAGACGTGGGATGCATTTCTCTTTGTAAATGTGCAGTATGTGCATTACCCAGCTATTGTCTGTCAGCCCCACGCCCACCCTTCTATACGCTGCTTTATGCCTCTGGGACTCTGCAAACTGCATTTCTTTGCCAGCTGGTCCCCCTTTAGGCTCTGCCACTATGGGGTGCTGGATGGGGAGGCTGCAGGGCTGGAGGGAGGAGAGGAGCTTGTTTCTTACTGTTTGCTTCCAGTTTCTGGCAGCCTCACCTCAGCGGTGGCACTTGACCTGATGGTGTCTGTTGGTTTCAGGCTCCAGCTTTTTTTTTTTTTTGACACTTTCAGAACTAGCCTCATTGTACCCCTGGGAAGCACCAGCCCTGGCAGTGCCGCTTGCTCAGATTTTGGAGCCCCCGCCCTGCCAGACCTCTCCTCTAAGCTTTCAGTCTCTGAGAAGCCAGCCCCCTCCCTTTGTTCTTTCAGCTCGGGGCGTGGTGCTCCCTGCAGTTATCTCTCTGGGGCACCATCTTCTCTCCTTGCTCTTTTAGTTTTCCAACAACTGTTGACCAGTTTTTTTTTTTATGTTACTCTGTTGAAGCACTTTGTGGTTTCTCTTTTTCCTTACTGGATCCTGTCAGTAATAAACCTATCAGCAGAACAAAATGAAGGAAGTGAGAATAAGGCAGAAAATCCTGGGTGTGGATATAGTTCCTAATGGAAACAACCCATTCATGATTATTCGCCTTTTCTTCTCGTTTGCATTTTATTCTCTTAATTTCAGTGTTTTTTTATTGTCCAGTTCTATTCTAGACAGTCTTGCTGTGCTTTCAGCTTATAAGGAGTCGGGGTGCTGACTTAGGGTAAGGTTGGAAAACATGATAAGCCATTGGGTGGAGCTTTCCAGTGATTGTCTTTCAGGGGGTAGTTCCTTTCACCATTTAAAATGTAGACTAATATAATCGTATAATTAAAAGAATTAGTCTTTTCAGTCTTATAATATTTACTTTTCTTTCCTTTTGAAGCCATCTCCACCTGCCAGGTAGATGATGCTTTTTAGCTGGTGGTAGGCTCCCAGCCTAGCAAACCTTCTTTCCCAAACGTCTTTCCCAAATCTTCTCTGTATCATCCTATTAACTTTTTCTTAGGAAACCCCATCTGCAGCCAGTCATGGTTTCCTAACTTCTTAGGTAGCTGTATCTTCATGGAGACCAACTGCTGTGGAAAAAGTAATCATCGTTATTGATGTAGTCTAGCAATAACCCATTGTGATAAAACTATATTGTTTCTAGTAAGTGTAAAGAATTTTTGGCAATTGATAAGTATTGCTCTCTTTCTACCCCAAAATTATGTTTAGTAATTCATATTCCTTTGTGATACTCCAATATTTCACAAAGAGAAAAAGGAAGATAAAATAGTAAGACACAAGGAAAGAAGTCTTCTGCGAACCCTTTTAGCATCATTAATTGTAGCTACCTTTGAATTTGAACTGAGCGTCAGGTACTATTATACGATTTTCACAACAATCCTCTGAAGTAGGTGACTATAAAGTAATAAAATTCTCCAAGTTCTTTCAGCCTATTGGGTCAACCAAGAGCTCTTCCTGCTACTATATCGCATGTACTGTAGATTTCTTCCACTTCCCTAACCCTAACAGTGCCTTTGAACCCACATGCTCAGGATTCCAGGCCTCTCCGTCTGTGCCTGGTCAGCTTTTGTCT